AACCCTTGAACTCATCATCAAATCTTGTCACTCAATCTGATGACATTAAGATGGTGCAATAGAATCACATTGAAATGTTGATTACACTTTTGTTCTTAAAAACAAATCCAATTCACTTTCATTGATGAGAATTAGATGAGAAGACTGATTTCACTGACTATGTTGTTAGGACAACATGTGTATTGCTCATGCGTTGGTGTCTGTAGCTACCTGTCTTCTTATCTTCTGTATCTTAAACCTGACTTTTATCCAGTTCTAATCCACACTTTTGCGTTACATGTTTTAGATAGAAGTTTTTATGTGGGTTAAGGATTTTATTCATCCGACATGGATTTTAAGCTAGACAACTGTACAAACTGTTCACTACAACACTCCTGCCACTATGCTAGCCTCTGGAACCCCACAACCAGCACCAGCATCTCCTCATGCCCTTTTCTCCCCAACCACACTAATAGTTGGGAACTCCATAACATAATTTCTATAACGTTACCACTCACTGCTTCCCCAGCCACCACAGCTGTCATTTAAAAAAAACTTCAGGACTTAATACCATCGCTCCCGTCCTCGATCACTCCATGTGGGAACAAATGATACAGCTCTTCACTAGTCTAAACTGACAATCAGTTTTTAACCATCTTTTTAACTTTTTAAAGCAGTTTGGAAAGTCTGTTTTTATCTTTGGTCCCATTCCCACAGTTGGTTGGGGTGCTGGCCACTTCAGTAGACTCCTTGGCCTCCACGACTGGCTCCAGTCCGCCTGCAGGGCTCACGGTGTGTGTTTCATTGATAATTTCCTGGCAAAGAATGTCACTTTTTAAGAGTGACGGACTTCACCCAAACAAACAGAAATGTTAGCTGCTCACATACAGCATGACATACTCATACATTACTTACGTGAATGCCTAATCATTCATGCAGCACACCTGGACACACCACTGAACAGAACTCAGCCTCACTGCCACTGACAACTGCCTCCACCTGCCGGCAGAAAAAGCCGTCTCCTCCCAGCGCTGTTGCAAATACTTCAATTCCTGTAATCATCACGCATAGACCTGCGATCTGAAATGTGTAAATCCCACACAGAAATCCTAATAATCTACTAAGGATTAAGACAAATGCACTTACTCCGGCACCCAGTACAAACACACTTCAAATGGCACTACTCAATGTGAGATCGCTTTCAAGAAAGACTTTTATTTGAAATTATTTTATTTTATCTGCAAATCTAGATTCTATGTTTTTAACTGAATCTTGGTTGCAAACTGACCATAGCCAGCTAGCCGAACTGAGTCCTCCTCTGTATAATTGTTTTAGCAAACCCACGGTCAGTGGTCGTGGTGGTGGCCTAGTGAGTGTGCACAGGAAAAATTTTAAATGTCATCAAGTACGATGCGATGTGATGAATTTGCTTCCTTTGAAGTTCTCACTTTTAAAGTTGGTGGCCTACAACCAACCATATTTGCTATAATTTATCACCCCCTAAAACCGCCTGATGGATTTTTGTCAGAATTTCCTGAATTTTGATCTACTCTTTTTTTAAATTATGACAGAATGGTTCTTTTTGGCAATTTTAATATTCATGTTGATGACCCCACCAATGTTAATGCAACTGACTTTTTAAATATTGCCACTTCTGTTAACTTTAAACAACATGTCTATGAGCAAACACATAACTGTGGTAATACACTGGACTTGGTTTTTACCCTGGGTGTTAGTATTTCCTCTATGGGATTACTGAATATGACCATATCTAAATGTGAATCACCCGTTACTCGTACTGCCTCACTAAGCTCCTTGTGTTCTCACATCCTTAATGAACAAAGTGTTTCAAAGTTTTGCACATTGTTTCAGAGCCAAAGCCAACACCTGTCAGATTCCCACACCAACGATCTGGCTGACCACTTCAATCATATTTGCTTGTCATCATTAAATATTATTGCTCCTCTAAAGGTTAGACCTAAGTCTACAGCTAGTAAGCAGCTCCGGATAAACGAGTATTTGCTTCCTCTTGGACACATTATCCAGAAACATGGTGTGTCTTTTCATATTTATGCTGATGACACACAGATGTACCTGCCTGTCAAATCCTGGTGAGTGGGTCCCAGCAAATGGCAAAGGAAAATACTCCCATCTGCTGGTTCCCTAGTGAATCAAATTAAGCCTGTTGCAAAGAATCTTGGTGTCTGGTTCGATAGTAGTTTAAGTTTTGAGCAGCACACCACAAAGCTTGTGCAATCATGTTTTTACCAGCTCAGAAATATATAAGCAATGTTATCCTTTAAGGACACAGACCATTTTAACAGACATACGTAAAATGGCTGTTGCATACGTGCAACAGGCTTTTTACTTGCTTAACACAAACATCTATTGATCGACTCCAGACTCTCCAGAACTCAGCTGCCAGGCTTTTAACCAGAACAAAGAAATATAATCACATCACCCCCGTTTTAGCTTGATTACACTGGCTCCCAGTATGTGAAATTTTATTGATTACTTTTCAAGCTCTTCATGGCCTCTCACCCTGTTATATCTCTGACCTTTTAGTCCCATATACACCAGCACGTACCTTGAGATCCTTGGGCAGAGGTCTTTTGTCTGTTCCAGAGTCTTGACTGAAAACTAAAGAGGACAAAGCGTTTGTAGTCAGGGCCCCGAGGCTCTGGAACAGCTCTGTCCAAGGAAATTAGGGAGTCTGAGCCAGTCCCTTCTTAAAACATACTTATAAGAAAGCCTTTCTTGATTAGATTCTTTTTATTTATTCTTTATGTGTGTTTTATTTATACTTTTAACATGTATTTTAGTCTCTTAAGTGTTTTATTGCAGTGTATTGGTTTTTATGCGTTTTAGTGCCTTTGCACTTGTTAATAAACTTTGTAACTTGTTTTTGAAAAGTGCTCTATAAATAAACAACCTGTCCAGGGTGTACCCCGCCTTTTGTCCAATGTAAGCTGGGATTGACTCCAGCCCCCTGCGACCCTGTACGCAGGATAAGCGGTTGACGATGGATGGATGGATGGATTATTATTATTATTATTATAATATCTCTCTGGTAAATACATGACTACAGCCAACAACCCTCTTACAGCCAGTTTGCTTAGATTAGCATAAAATCTGTAAACAGGGGACAACAAATCTTACATGCTTGAAAAGACTGATTCTACTGTCATATCCTTCTGTTAAATATATGTCTACAGCTAGTTAGATTAGTATAGCATAAAGTCTGCAAATGGAACAACTAATCTTATTCACTTTCATCAATGAGAGTTAGATGTGAAGACTGAACGGTGGGAAACCCTTGCCTAGCTCTGTCTGAAGATATAAATCTGCCTCCCAGCACCTCTTTCAGAAAGCTCACTAATTAACAAAAACTGAAGTGTACAATCAACAACAGTTAATTTCTGGAGTTAATGTCCTACACTCTTTCTTGGCTGAGAGAAGTAACATTACTTTTCTGAAGTCAGAAAGGCAACTCCTCAGTGATGGTAAGGCCACAGGAAGTAACTGTGCCTGTGGACAGAGTCAGCCTACCCGTTCCCCGTCTCCCTGATTGTAGATTGTTATTTAGTGGTGTATAGTGAATAGGCCTACTTGTATTTCCCAAAAGCATATTTCCTTTTCATTCAACTGCGGCAACAAACAATGATAACTAAACCTTCTTGTTTCATTACTGTTTATTTATACTTTTCATAGTCATGTTTCAAATAAATTTTCTTCAGTACATGACAGAGATTTACAACACCCAGCACTGTTTGATACCCTTCTGTCTTTTCTTCTCATTAAAGGTGGATTTCACATGTTTTGTTCCAAAATGGATCAATACATTGACCACTGTATGCCGTATGTATCATGGGTTTCGCTTTGTTTCGCTGTGACCAATGCACTGTTTCCCAAAATGTACTAATTAATGAAAGGACAATGCTTGTCACAGTGAGTTACAATAGTGAGGTAAGGCCTAAAAAAGTAGTTTATATGGTCTTATAAACCTGACAATTGTCAGGTGAGTCCTAAAAAAGTAGTTTATTTGGTCTTAAGCCATATCACTTTGAAGCTGCTTGGTGAAACAGAACACTGCAGACACCATCATGTGTGTCCACTGAAACATTGGGATGTTTTCCTAAAATAAACCTTTGACCTGGAAACCAGGGTAAGGGTCACAGCGTTTTCTGGAAAAGGTCATTCCAGTCTGTAAACCAAGGCTGTAAGACCCTAATAATGTTTTAAGCAACAACACACGGGAAGAATTAACCGGCGAGTGTTACCAGCACTCGGACACTGATTATTTCAAATTATCTTATTTCTTACGAAAAAAAGAAAAAAACTTTTGAACATGTACCTCACTTTATTACTGTTGCCAGGAGGAATATTCACTCTACTGCCACGCAGTTGCTCAGTGTATTGGCAGCTTTGAGGAGGGGGCAGAGGCTGAGTAATTCCAGACAGTCTCTTGCAGGTCAATTCTAATCAATTCAAGACAGTACAGACAGTGCAGAGGAGATTGAAGATTAACAGTCACTTTGTCATTCCAGTTATTATTATGTATCTGCATGATGGCAGAAATCTATTTGTAAGTGTGTGTGTGTGTGTGTGTGTGTGTGTGTGTAGCTCTACAGGGGGTCAGTAAGGTTACTAGCAGGAAGTGGAAATGACTAAGTTACTCACATTTAATGGACACAAACAAGAGCCCACATTTTTTGGGGGATGTGTGAGCGCGGGTGTTTCACTCACTTAATCTGCGTTAGGGGATTGCAACTGAAATAGATGTTTTGGAATAGACTGGTCTTCAAATACTAATTAAGTAGATTAACTGTGTCACCTACCTGTTAAGAGAAAATCAAACTGTTCAGGTAAATGTCATCATTACTTAATGTGGTAAATATTTAGCAACTTGTCTTTGGTTTGTCTTCAAATCAAAATCACTCAAAAATGGATTTAAAATCATCTCAAAACCACAAGAGACAACTAATAAAGCCATTATGTTTTCTAGTTAAAAACCAACGGGCTGTGAAGGTAATGCCTTTATTGAAGTTGAGTTTGGTTCTATTTATGCAATTTACAATGTTAAGCTCAAACATGTTTTGATTGACCTTCAAAATATCAGTCTGATTCATTACGTTTCTGGTGCTTAAAGTTGAATGACTCACACTTCTGAACTATTGTATGCTAATTGACAGTTGTGCTACACATTCTCCCTGTGCTAAATGACAATCAGCATGTTTAAGATGCTTGTTTGTTTGTTTGCTACCAAAGCATGCCAACTAGGACAGATATTTTCAACAAAATCTTTTGATTTCTTTGCTTTTTTCCCAATTTAATTGTATTGACAGATGTTATTTTGAAACAAATTAAGTACATTACTCTGTTATTCCCTACTGATATCATAATATTTAACTTGATTCACAAGTGATGCTTTTAGCATGTGATTTTGTTATGCAAGCCTCTCTTTGTATCTGTCCTAGCTATGACATGACCAACATGAAATGTTGCTACAGCTGTGGTTACACTCTGAATATTGTGAAATGGCAATTCCAATTATTCCGATAATTATTAAAAATATTTTTATTATTATTACTATTATTTATTACTGTTATTTTATTATTATTTATTAAAACCAGTTGCTTGATTTACATTCTGTAGAAAACAATGGTTTTCATTTGGATGGGAATTAAGCACTGCTTATGGTTAGTCAAAGTTGAGCTTAGTGTGCCAGTTGGAAGAATTTATTTGATTATTATTTGAAAAAAAAAAAGCCTGCTCTATCACAGGAGTAGGTGGATACAGTACCATTTATCTTGCCATATTGCCACATATTTTAATACTCATTGGTAAAAAGTCACAATTTGCTGCTTTGTCAGTCAACACAACGATTACAGGAAAGCTTAGCAATGGGTTGAATTATTTGCACACGTGTAGGATATGCTTTTGATATTCTATTATAATATAATACAATGCCTCACCTTAAAATGTGAGGCATAAATTGTCATAAAAAGCCAAAACACAACCAAAGCGTGTGTCAGTTTGAAATACAACAAAGGTTACAGACAGCACATCTTAAAAGGTCCACAGTGTTCTGTCTGTTCATTTGCAGCTGTTGCATGTCCAAATGCACTGAAAACAATGGTAGGATTTCCCCTGTTTCTACTGCCATTGAAATATGAGGCAATATGAGGAATGATTTGACAGTTAGCAAGATGAAATGCCATGCACATCATTTCTAAAATGTGTTTAGTACTATATGGGTAATGTACTGACCCACAATGTGTTGCTTTAGTGCTGAATAATGCTTATGATAACTCAAGCTGTTACTAAACCACATGTAGCCAATTCACTTAGTCATTTAAGCCGTTGGAATTTGAGGTATTGTAATATTTCCCCCCAAAGCTAGCACTTTTTGCTGTGCTGTGTTTTGGGAAAATGACAGGGGCCTTTTGGGGAGATTATAAAAAAGGGAAATATTGCAAGCTTAGCCTTAAGAGTATATGATTGGAGAATGAACAATTACAGGAAGGCATGTCACTCCAATTCACTTCAAAAATAGTTTCATTTAGGTACAACCTGCCATTTACCAAAGTAAATGTGTGCTGACAGTGATAAAGCTAAGATACAGGAACAGAATACATTTTTGTATACAGTAGTTGCCGAAGGGCTTCTGTGTTCTTATAATACCCTACTTTCACTGATTTGTCCAACATGCAACACAAAGTTTAGTTTTTGTGAACTAAAAGCTTGCACTGATACACTATGATGTATTACACATACAATAAAAACCAGTGCCACTCACGCCAGACTGGGAAAGCCAAACAGGCACATCATGTCTGAGTGTTATGTACTATTGACTGAAAAATCAATACAATTTGTACTGGCCACAATAAAGAAAACAAAAACAAATAAGAAACAAGTGCAACGATCAAATCAACATGACAGAGACAATAAAATACATAAGGTGTAAGACTCACATGTAATGCACATGTTAATGAAGCAGATCACCAGCAGATTACTGGAGCAGAGCGACTGGTGAATGGGGAGTTTTCTCGTGATTAGTTGAAGCATGTTGCAGCAAAACGCAAACATACTGTCCACTGTATGATGAAAATAGCTACAGCTTTAATTGTGGAACTTCATGAATGGTGAAAACACTGGTAATTATAAATGACAAATGAAGAGAGATGTGTTTTGGACACAAAATGTTTCTCTGCTATCTTAAACGCAATCATAAACTATTGTATATAGATCTATAGATATGAGTATTGCTTAACTTTAACAATCATATCTATGTGATTATGAAAATTGTTTACAGTACAGACATTCAATGTTAATTAAACAATGACAGAGAGTCTGATATGCAGTCTACACTGCACCCCCGCCAGATACTGATCTTCTCCATCTTTCACGCCTGCCGTGTGTGTGTATGGGGAATTCATCTATGACATTCAATAACCTGTGAAGAAAGAGGTGCTCTCTGACCATATAATGAACTGAACTCACTCCAGGCTCTTTCTGACCCCCTCATACCAAACCATGCTTTTCTCTTCATTTGAGACATGTACAGTTGTGGTTGATCAATCCATACATCTGAGTCATGATGTCCAGTGATGGGGAGTTCATGGTAAGGGAGCAAAAATGTGCAAGTTGCTTCCAACATCCGTCTGTTCTCCTTCTCTTTCATTCACTGATGAGACACGTAGCTGAGGCAGAGGGTGAGCTGACAGCCTGCCTGTGATGTCAGCAAGGAAAACTGAGTATGTGTTCGTATGTGTTTGTGTGCGTGTGTGTGCGTGTGTGTTCAGTATGTGCGAAGAAAAGTTGAGGTTCCTATCCAGGTGGCCCTGGTCATCCTTGCATTTCCCTCCTCGTGCTCAATTCAGGTTCTGAATCAAAAATCATCTTCTCTTCCTCTCATAAATATTAATATAATACTTTATTACCCATTGCCCTTGACCCTTATAACGCCATAAACAAAACAAAAAAAGCAAACTATCAAAAACATTGAATAGGTCTGACAAATTGCAACATCACACAATAAGTAGAATAAAACCCAAAGGAACAGCAGAGGTTGTATAAATGTTGTGCTTCTTTAATTTCACTTTGTAAAGTCCTCCACTGTCCTAGTTGTGTTTTAGTTTAAACTTTGTTATATTTAATATATATAGAGATAAATGTACACGTATGATCCGCACTGAGGTTCGTCTCTTGTGGCAAGCAGAGGGCAAGCAGAGAGGCTACCAGGAGCACCTGTCTTTTTTTCCTCCGTTTCTGGTTTGTCCTTTCCTCACCATTCATTTGTTTATTCATTCTTACATTTATCAGTTTTTTTTCTTTCTCTTTGTCATTCAGTAGCTCCCACGGTCCCAAAGGCTGGGATGGAAGGGAGATGGACTTTGTGAAGAAAGATTTTTCCCACTTTCTCTCTCTCTCTCTCTCTCTCTCTCTCCTTCACCTTCTTCCTGGAATCCCTGTTTCCTCATTTTTATTCCCTTAGGTCCTTTGTCATCTTTGGTAGAGTGTCCGACACTTTGGTGTGTCTGGGGAATAGGGTGGAGGGGCCGTCGAGGATTGCTGTTCGACGGAGTGGAGATACATGAGAGGGTGCATGTATGGATGAAGAAGGTTAGTGAAGGAGAGGAAAAGGTGACAAAGTGACACGCTGACATGGTTAAAGTGAATATAATCAGATTAATAGAGTGACAAAGGAGAGATTGTGTAGTTCGACTGTCAAAGATCATCAAGTATGTTCACCTTAAATACAGTATGAGCATCAGTTGGTTATGCTGGAGAAATCTTTAAAGAAAGCAGAGGAGAAGAAACTAGACAACAATGTTGTGTTATCTAAGCAAGAAGAATGAAATGGATGCATGAAGGATAGAAAGACAACAAGTTGAGAAGGACAGATGGTTAGGGAGACAGGTAATTAGAGGAAAGGGCAGGGAGAAGGGTAGAGAGAGAAGTAAAAGAGCGTGAATCAGAGCAGTGTCTGTCACTACAGACAGGCGGTGTTGTTGGAAGTGCTCATCATCTGTAGAGTAGTGACAGCAAGCAGGAGAGGCCAAAGGTCAGCCAGCTGGCCAATGGGAGCGAGTGTGATCCACCAATCAGAACTGTGGAAAAAAGAACAGAGTTGTCTTATTAGTTCATACATGGAAAGAAAATCCATAGTCAGCTTCTGTTATTGATTTAATGGCTTGACTCATGACTTTATAAGGTTTTATAGCAAGTTCCAACAAACACAGTCCTATATTTAGAGGCATATTGAGCAATCCAGAGGGCATTTTATACTCTAGCCATCAATTCAATTATTTTTACTCATAATTTATTTATTGATTGCTGTCAGGATGTAATTAAGAATTTCAACAAATATAACAAAACAGGCCTCCAGAATAAATTGCCTACCTTTAATATGATAATCCGTTTCATTAATGATTATTTACCACTCACAATTAAATAAATCTCTAAAACATACATCTGAATCAAGAAGCAAAAAATTGCCTTTCTTTTTCTTCCGAAATGGACTCTCTGCAGTATATATGAGATAAAGGTGTAAACTGTAGCCTAATCTTTTTATTTAATGTCATTTTACATGTCATTTCATTATTTGTCCCTTGTAAACTTAATTTTATAGGACAGGCCAACCCTGCCATTACTTTGACCAAGTAGATACATAGATAGATAGTATATATTTAACTCTTTGGCCCAGGGCTGACTGAGTGCAGCAGCATGTGCAATGAAAAAGCCCTGGTGTGGCTGAGAGTTCAAAGTGTTCTTCAAAAAGCATAATTTGGACAATACCAAACCATGTTGCCAATGTTGAAAGCAGGAGGAGGGGTTGTAGTCAAATCAATCTGTGTTTTAGGATTTCATGTGGAGAAAAGTGAGAGACTGTCAGGGAAGAAGGAAAGAGTCGAGCGGAAAAGGAAGGACAGCAAGAGAGGCACAACCAAGAATGAGGGGGCAGATGAGTAAACAAGTAATTAGAAGAAAAGTTACTGCTGATGTCAACATCACCAAAATGTGACTTGTTCTTCTCCAGGTTGTTATTGTTTATGCACAGTTAGTGCACACATCTTCCACGTGGTGTAATTGAATTGTTTGGAACACTTTCACTAATAGTAATAAGCTTTGGTTGTCCACATGAGATCATCCAACGTTTCCCATTGATTTTCTTTTATGTTAAAAATCACACGGAAGCAGTGTACCTCAACACAGTCACACTCACTTACATGCACACAATATACACAGCATTACATTAATGCAGCACTAGATTACAAATGCAAACTGCTCAAAGACAGTTTCATAAATAAAAAGTAGGTATTGTATTAAAGAGATCAATATGATTTCATATCACAGGTCCATCCTCCAGGCAGAAAATCAATATTTATAATAAAGCTTTGATCTTGGGCACACAAACACACACACACACACACACACACACACACACACACACTCATTCGTATAGTAAAGTTTACAGGCAACATATTGAACAGGAACATGATGTTTTAAAGCTCTCTATCTCTCCCCCTTCCTTTAACTCACCCTACCCCATGCTATCGCTCTCTCCGTTTCAGTGATTATGGTCTATACCGGTCTATAAAATGGAGTTTGAAAAATAATGCAATGCTATGGGCGTATGCAGTACAATGTATTTGTGTGTGTTCGTTTGTGTGTGTGTGTGTGTGTGTTTGTGTGTGGTTCCATATATGTCACATCACAGACAGTGCACATGCATTTTAATCCACTTACATAAATCTTAGCCTCTACACCTGCTTCTTAGTGCTGCAACCAACTAAAAAATCAATGTCTGTTTAGCTAGCAATATCCATATGATCACAGGCATAAAATGTATGCTCTGAATGACGGAATAACATTCAGCTCATTTAGTCATCATTTTATATATAAAGGTGTGATAGATTACATACACATATATTTTTTAATAAACAAATTCTTTCTAATTTTACTCATCATCATGAGAGCTACATAAACAATCTCCACTAAAGTTACTAACAAAAACTACTAGACTATTAGATCTACTGATAAATTTCTTGATGACAGACTTGATACTTATTCCGCTTCCAAAAACATGTTCTCCTCCTATTTACTGCTCTGCTGATCTCATGCTGTCTCCTCTCTTCTCCTCTCCTCTGCTGCTCTGCTCTCCTCTCCTGTCTACCGACAACAATAAATGCATGTGTTCATTGTCACCATCAAATAATTAACTGTAAACATCACTGCAGCTTCCAGCACACCTGTAGCCGATAGTGATGACACAGAAACGCTTCTTTGGAGACCAGTTCAAGGGACCCTGCAATGTCATGCTCTCCCATTGGCTGTATGAACAGAAGCTGGATTTGTGGTGCATTCAAGCCAAGCAGGAACCTTCAACCTGCATTCTTTCTAATGGCCAGCAGGGAGCAACTCCACTGGCTGCGAAAAGAATTCCGGTTCCATTAGATCTAATGTCAAAATGATCCTACTTCTCACTTGATTTATTACCTCAGTAAACACTTTCCTAAGGAGTTTATCGTCTCAATCATTAGTTTCAAGTCTTCTTCAATACAGCATGATGTTAATTTTGTAAAATACGGTCCCATTTAGAGGGAAATAGACGATAAAGCAGGGTATACTTTATCACTATTGCATATCCCTACCATGGTGACCTGCTAATCAGGATACAGGTGACTCAAATCCACTGCACTGTGTAAATGTTACCAGCACCACTGAACAAGCCTAAATGCCAAACAGGAAGCTTCAAAACCATAGCCCACAAACCAATGGGTGATGTCAAGTGACTTCTTTTAACAGTCTATGGTTCAAGCACAATTAATTATATTCGTTTCATGAACACGGTTTAGTAAAAGTGTAAAACAGTTATTAGCGATTCTCCCCCCAAAAAACTGAGCAGGAACATTTTTCCCTCCCAACCTTTACTCCTGGAACGGCGTGCCTGTGCATTCTCCCCATTTCCACCACTGAACATGAGTGAATAGAAAATTGAATATACCCCTGTTATAATACATAATCCAAACTGCTTATCTGGAAGTGAGAACAAAGGTGAGCATTAACTTAAAGAGATGGTATTATGCTAATTTTCAGGTTCAAAATTCTATTTAGTGGTTGTACCAGAACAGGTTTATATGGTTTAATTTTCAAAAAGCACCATATTTTTTTGTCATACTGCACATTGCTGCAGCTCCTCTTTTCACCCTTTGTTGAAGGCTTCGTTTTAGCTATGGAGTGATACACCGTGTCTCTAAATGATCTTTGTTGGGAGTTGCACATGCGCAGTTCCTAGTTAAGGACTACTAGCCAATCAGAAGCAGAGAAGGGCAGGTCAGCGAAAAGATAACAGCTTCGATTCAGCTGAAGGCTACATGTTGCCGACCAGGTTGGCAACTTGGACTGGAGCAAGAGTTTCAGAGTGGTGAGTTATTAATCTGTAACAAAAGTATCTTTCATCCATGAAGTTTTAACCGAGCTCTGTCTCTACATCACAGTAACAACTTCATGTCCACTGACTGCTTTGAGGGTAGCTAGTGTTTTTCCACCGGTGTTTTTGAGGGCATGTCGGAGTAGTTGCTCAGCGAGTATTATGACACGTATTTTCATTGTGACGCCACAAGAAAGGGAAGTAAAGGCTGGACTACAAACGAGATGTTTTCAGGCAGTTCAGAGCAGTGTTTTCTGTGGGAGATGGGAACTCCCTTTGGGGTGGATTTTGGGCTTTTTCACTTTGCAAACCTACTAAATGCACAAAAAAGATATATAACTCAATAAAGGAGAGGGAAAAAGCCAAAAACCGTAATACCACCTCTTTAACTTAGAACTCGTGAATATCTTATTTACTGTCATTTGTAATCACATGTAACACACCTTCACAAACAGCTTTGTTTTGAGAAAACTCAATATTCTGTTGCACCTTTTACGCTAACAGTTAAAATCCTCAAATAACTGAATAATTCTCAGTTCATGTCACAGCATACTCAAACATTTAAAATGACTACCCAGACTGTCAATGTTAATGCCCATGACATCTTGATGAGGTACTTCCTGGTTGAGCTAAATTAGATTAAGCAATTTCAGAGTTCATTTTGATCTAATGTTTCACCTACGGAAAGTTCTCAGAATATGATGCAGTGGATCAACGTGATAGAAGAGCAACAATGAGGTGAGGAGGAAATGCTTTCAACAGAGGACAGAGAATACAGTAAAAAATAAAGCAGTAGGGGACAAGCTCACCTTCCACCACCTCTTATTTCAACACACGCAACTGAGCCAGGTGGAGCCCTGCGATTTATGCAGGCGGAGATGCACCAAACATGTCAGAGGCAATCATCCTTCATTTGTGGAGGACCATAGGACAAAAGTCTCCTGTGCACGCTCATAGTTAACCTGAATCTAATGTGTGTGCGTGTGAGAATGCATACACTACAGTTGTCAAATGTGTGTATTTGTAAGTTTATGTGCATTCCTGTGTGCTTCCATATCCAGTAAGTCTCCATTGAAAACACTTCACATGGGTGAATGCGCATGAATGTATCTCTGAGTGTGTTTGCAGTGAGTGAGTGTGTGTGTGTGTGTGTGTGTGTGTGTGTGTGTGTGTGTGTGTGTGTGTGTTTGTGACACACAGGTGTGATGTATCAGCTGGGTGATGCTGCCAGGTTCACCTGCTCTCCCTCCACATCCTACGAGATGCAGGGAGCTGCAGCAAAGTCTCAAAGCAGAAGTGCCTTCTGGCTCAGAAATATACCAATTCTCTCTCTCTCTCTCTCTCTCTCTCTCTCTCCCCTCTCTCTCTCACTCACACTCACACAGAGCCATGTGACACTGTGCTGTCTATCTATCTATCTATCTATCTATCTATCTATCTAAACATGTGCTGATATTGTTGTTGTTGGCAAAGGTGGTAAACATCTGGGGCCATATGTGTCATGTACGCATTAAAACACACCATTACACGCACATAAACTGGTATTAACAAAAGGAGAATGTGGGCATACTTCAGACCACAGTATGTACAGTTCTCCAAAGATAGCTGCAGGGGATATGATAAGGAGGAGATCAGTACTCAGTGCAAGTACTTGTTTGTTTAGGTTGTTTGCCAATTTCAACACTTCTGTATGTCAATCACAGTCCCATTCATTAACTTATTTAAAATATTTTTTTTACATTTGAGCCACCATTTCCGTGTTCCTGTAATCATCATTTAATTGTATCCTGAATTGTGAAGCACTTTGTAAAATCTGTTTCAATAAGAGATCTATAATGATTGATCATCTTTCTGACATTTAATAATGACTGAGATATCACCGTGATGATGGTTTACAGGTACATGTGATAAATTAGTGTTATGGTCCTATAAAAAAAGCCACAGCTGTGCATAATGGTCACCCATATCTCGAACCTTGCGATGTAGCACAGTGGGTGAGGTTGCATTATTTCTTCTTTGTCGTCCTTCTAATTGACAGGTCTAATGAGTGATGGAGCAGGCAAAAGTATTGATAATGCAAATGCATGATTCCTGTTTTTCTCAGCCGCTTTGGTGCATTTCTCAGATCAGAATTGAAATTCTCAAAACTACTTGTTCAACCTCCACATCACCACTTTTCACCACCAGTCAAAGGTTAGTGTGTTCAATCCTTACTTAGGACCACTTTTTCCTTTTTTATCTTTTTATAATCCTCTTCAACAAAGTTCTTATGAAGAGCCTGTTTCACATGCTCACAATAAAGCACATGCTGGACTGTGCGTATCCTGGCGATTGGTCCACATCCATCAACCTATGGACTTTTCATTTCCCCATCATTCCCAGGCAGAGGAAATTCCTGTGCTTCTCATTCAGAGGAATCCATTTAACAGTACACATTTCCTGACAGCTATTTCGGAACCTTTGTAATAGCTGTCGGTAAATGTGTGATTGGATTCCCCTGAATCTCTTCATAAAAACCTTGTTAAAGAGGATGATAAAAAAAAAACACACAAGAAGGAAAATAAACTCTGAGAGCACAATCTTTAGATTACAAATCCTGTGCTCTACCAGCTGAGCTAACCAGTGACACTATAACTTTTACACACCTGCCGACCACTGTGTTCAGCTTTTGTGTGTTTTCTCCAACAAAAAATGATCCTGTTATCACGGGAAACCAACATTCATTATCTCGAGATCACAAGGTACTTATCCCGTTATCACGGGAAAACGGATAAAAATAAAGATTTGAATGGTTGGCCGCTTAGGGCTTCCATAGTATTCTAACTGTATTTTTACAGTTGTTCTATGCAATGCTTTAAAACAGTCCTGTCCTTTTCTTTTCTGTATCACAATGACATTATTTGTCAACAAATTACAGTACAAACAGTACAAAAGTGTAACTGTGATTCCTGTCCTCTCTCCTGCAATGTATAAAGTTGTCCTGGTGAAAGTGATATATGCCGTACAGAAAAAGTGCAGTCTTCAGCATTTTCAATCATCGTCATCAAAACAAATGTGTACGTCAGAAAATACTTACAGAGTACACTGTTATATTGACAACATGGCTAAACATTTTGACTATCTAGTTCCTAAACAATGACACAAGGACTAGTCATTCTGATGGCTCTGACAAGTTCACTGACCTAAATATTTACTTTTGAGAGCTAGGATATTGAGCAACTTAAGAGTTTTTGCAGGTAAACCACTGTGTTGTGCTGTTTGTAGTACCTGTTTCGAGAAATGCACTTGCTGTTTTGCAAATGTTAAGGATGATGAAAAACTATAAGAGCATTTCTTCATACATTTATGGTGAACCGTGGGAGTGGAAATTAAGCTGGCACATGTGTGCCCAGCTCCACAATGACTGAGGTTTATAAAAAAGAAGCAGGCATACGTGCAGCTTTATAAATCTGACAAAAATAACATGTATGCATATTTCTATCGTTCAGTATTAATTCTTAATCTTAATCTCACATACTTGTATGAAGACAACCTTACTCAAGAACTTTGGTTCGGACTCAAATGAACCAAGTACATTCATGACCTTATAAGACTCATTACTGACTCTGTCCATCTTGCATTAATGCAATAATGGTGTTATGTTATACCTGATTTTGCACTTTCTTCTAAGTCTTGTGTCTTTTGATTTCATCATACCTGGCAAGCATGGGTGGAGTTTAATCCTTCTCTAATCCTCATTTTACCTTGCCAACTCATTGGTGGCAAAATCTGTACTCAAGATGGACCCATTTGTGTTTTTTACAGTGGCAAAGATTCTTCAGTTGCCTGATAATTACCCATCTGTCTGCACTGTATGTCTCTCCCTGCACAAAACCTGCAGGACACACATACATACACGCGCACAGTCCCAGAGCTCAAGAGTTTTCGTCTTCCTGTTTTCACCATCATCCATTATTTACTCTATCCGCCAGTGTCTTTACATGCAATATGTGCGAGATCGCTCACACTGGGGGTTTGAGGAGGTAAAAGAAGGATGTTAATAATTCACTCAGATTTTTGCAGTTTTGTGTTGTTTCCATGGCTCTGCATTTCCTTTGTAGTAGGTTTTAGCAATGAAAAAGTGAACAAGAGCATGTAGTTTCTCACTACATGTTGCTAGATCTAAAAATGAATGCATGTCTGTGCCTCCTGGAGGAGGGTCCCTCTTCTATTGCTCTTCCTTGACCGCTCAAATTGCAAAACACTAGAAATTTAGTTAGATACATGATAACATTACTGTACAGATACCAAAATAACATAACGTCAAACTAATTGGCTGATGAACAGTTAAAAGATTAGTTGTGCATTCTATCATAGTAATGAATCACATCTTTGTTTCTTGTTCAGTTTCACAGTTTCAAAGTGTCCCTACTTTACCTAAAAGAAATGGCATTGTGCAAGAAGAGAAAAGTGCCAAGTGGCTGTTGTTGTGCAAGTGTGTATGTTTGTGTTTGTATGCATGTCTTGGCTTAAACTGGAAGATTTTTCGTTTCATGTACTCTTTCTTCTTGGTTCTTCTTTGGTTCTTCTTTGATCCCTCTCTCTCTCTTTCTTAAACACACACACACGTGCACAAACACACATACTTTCGGTCACTCTCCGTCTTTGCCCTTTTCTCTATCTCTGACTCTTCTCTACACCCCAACCCTTTAGGCTATTTGAGTCTCTCTCCACACGGTTATATGGACATGCACTCATTCCTCGTAACTCTCTTTTTCTCTCTCATCCTTAAGGCATGGTGGACCATCACAAGCAGTATAAGTAGCAAAATAGTATTCTGGTATTCTATTTATGGGCAGACCCTTGGTTTGACTTGTCTAGCATGACGGCATGAGCGGTGTGGAAAAACTGTGATTAGATTATGGAGTAAAAACAACTGTTGTGGTGGGCCGATGCCCTGCCACTGTTGAATCCAGGTGTCTTTCTCTTTCTCTCACTGCACAGACATTCCTGTCTTTTTCACTCATGCTCTTCCTCATGAAATCCTTATCAGTACACACTTTCTGTTGGTCCTCTCTCTCTTTCTCTCCAAAGGGGAAATAATAGAAGCTTTTAAAGATGAAAAACTGTGCAGAGGTATAGATATAATAAAGGGTAAATGACTATTAGAGAGCAGAACATAAGAGGAAAAGAGACAGGGTATAATGAAGGTGGGTGTGGAGGAGGCAGCGGGGGTGTGCTGTGGAAACTTAGAGCTGAAAAAATAGAGGGGAATGTCAACTAAATACAACGATGGACGGCAAATGATGAGGCCTCCAAATCGCCTACATGTCGGTGCTCTGTGGTGTCCACTTGTCTCCGTCCAGCCCCCACACTGACAAGATTTTCTCTGCACAATATTCCCACACCTCCCAAACACCAAAGAAGACGTTTAGTTCTCTTTCTTTCATTCCTTCGTTCCTTTGAAAATCCTGTCTCTACAGTAATTCCCTTCTCTGCTGCCCAATTCATTTCTTTTCAGTTGAAATCAATTCAGTTAATCTCAGTTTAATTCAGCTCTGTTTCAGCTTCCTAGCAAGTGCTTTATTGGCATGTCTGCTGAAAACAAAAAAAGCTATCAACTCTTTTTTTTTATACTGTGTTCATTATTTGAGTTTCTCTTAAATGCGCCTGCACGCACAGAGCATGATGGGGGAAAACAGTAAATCACAGCTGCTTCTTTGTGATTCTTTCTCTGGGTGTTTATGTCTCTACACTAAAGAAAAAGTCTAGCTTACCTGTCTTACCTGCGCTGGCTACAGTGTTCTCCTGCTTGCACTTCCCTATGGTGATGGACACGTCGTCAATGGCAATATCCCCCTCAAAACTTGGGCCTCGAATTCCTTCAAAGACAATCTGTTTTGGGAAGAGACAAAGAGACAGACGGATGCTGGTGGGTATATCTGATAAAGTATATATCAAGTTGGTCAAAAACACAGCCATCACCCTGCTCGAACAAACTTGACTTAAACGAATGACCATCTGGAATTTTTGTCTGAATAAAATTTTACATCTAAGTAAAAATGGATGTGATAATAACTTTCATTTCAGATTGAACATTAAATATCTCAAACTGGTCAAAATAAATTAAATGGCCCTGCAATTTAAAAAGACAGTATGCTGAAACAATTAAACAAACAGCACAGATAACAACATGCAGGTAGTAGTATGCTTCAGTATTAAGTATTTATCTTCTTTCTTATCCCATAATCATTTGTGGACCCACAACAACAAAACTAAACAGGAGACTCATCTGAAAGCTTTCCAGGCGACTTCCCCATTGTAGCCGCCAGCCATCTGGTTTTGACTGACAGCCTAATTACTGTGGTGTACCAAGGCACCCAGCTAATCAGAAACCAGGAGTATTCTGTCCAGAATATGAGGAGGGAAACAGAAAATAAACAAGGAAACTTTGTTCCTCTAAAATAACAACAAAAGCAACTCTCACAACTATAGCTATTTGCTTTAACTATATTGGTGCCTTGTATTGTAATTTTAAATATAATAGCCACTGTGCTTTCTGTGTGATCATGTTGGAGGGAGTTACGATCCTACAGTAATAATAGCTTATTTGATCTGTGGTGGTTTCCAAAGAAATGGGCATTATGCACAAACCGGTGCGTGGGCCTGTTCATATAGCAACATTTTCCACTACATCTATCAACTTGCCCTTGAGCAAGGCACATAATCCTCAAGTTATTCCACTAAAATGGGGAGAGGAGCAGGTGTGACTGTGTGTATGGATGTGATGCTGATGGAAAATCTGCCTGTATGCCTGTATACATACATAACAAGAGAGACAGGAGGTCTGGCAAATACACCTGACTTTAAAAACGCCATCTGTTAACGCCAATGTGCTGCGAGTGTTTTACCCAGTGAACAGGTAGAACAGACCTGTCATCATATTGTGTGTGAATATATCAAGCTAGACCATGGGTTCAATTAACCCAGTTCTGACCCACCAAGGAGAAAAGCCTGGCCCGACCCCATATACGTTCTGAGCAAATGGAGGGTGGAGAATTGCAAAAACACCAAACAGTTCCTCATTGCTGGAGCATTCCATTACCTGTGTTTTAATCTGCGAGTGTTAGCGCCGAACAGCAATGTCAGTTTGAAGTATCAAACAAAAATTCATGGGGCAGATACCAATAGCCTATTCATTGCCATAGACAAGCACCAGCATAGCTGTGCGCATGTGAGGTAATTTCTCCAGTTCACCTCTGCAATGTAATCCTTAAAAGTTAAAGGTCAATAAAGAAAGTAACCGTCCCGCACGTATGACCAGCCTCTGGCTCAGTTACAGTAGCTCTTACTTGAGAGTTGCTGAGCATATCTTTCCATGGTTCATTTAGTCTAAGTTAACTGATTCCTGTGTGGTACGCTGACTGATGTGTTTGAGCACACACTGCAGGGCATGAATGCCATAGCCCCAACAAACTCGCACAAGCATATATACAGGTAGCCTAATTCATTTTCCTTCTGTTGCTCTATATGTGTCTCATGCTGTCCTCCTATCCAAATAGAGAGGCAATTCAATTACATTCATAAAGGGGAGGGAAACACAAGAGCGGTCCCACCTCTTTCCCACTTGCTTTCTAATTTGGTCCCCGAACGGGAGATCTTCTTTGAATGAATAAATAAAATAATTAGGAGAACCTTGAAACTGATTGGGCGGTGTGAAGGGGGAAAGAAATGAAGTTGGTCATTTGTGAAAAAGGATTATTTGATTTACAGAGGGTAGCTGTGAGGGAAAGTCAGGGGTAGCAGAGGGAAGAGGCTAATTGGTCAAGAAGCCATGGTCACCTAATTTATAAATAATACAATGCTGTTTCTTTGCTGTGTGGCTGTGGCTAACATTTCATTTTATTTCTGTACTTTATTCCTGTTGTCCATATTGTTGTATAATTAAAGATGACGAGAAAAAGAATAGGGCAAGGAAGTCCTGAGACTGGCCTTGACACACAGAACAAATAACCGTCTCCTTTGAGTTGCAAAACAACACAATCACACCGAGCATAACTTCCTCAAAGATATCAAACAGAATGGCACAGCACAAAGAAATGCAATATCCTGCTACCCAACACAGGATGGCAATATAATGATTTTAGGTGTTTATTTTTTTGGAAAGGCTCAGGAAAATAGGCCTGCGCCCTTTCACTTAATGATTACTGCTGACAGATCAAGTGTGAGTCACCAGTGCCAACAGTGCCTCACACTTAAACATCACTTCGGGGCACTTAGCTGAGGTGAAGTATATCTCAGAGTTTCTCAACCTTACAAGTGGCAAGGCTGCTTGATGTACAGTCATGGAAGATTTTTAGTATTGATATTGGCTATTGATATTTCTTTATATTCTTCATATCTTTTTTTATTAAAAACATAAAGTATTTGCAATATTTCAGTATTTCTGTGCACTAAAAAGTACATTAACAAAGAACACTTTTCTAAAATTCACTGCTAAGGGTCAGTAAGATTGTGGGATGTAAAAATTGGGTCATGGGCCGTAAAAGGCTGCTGCTGTATCTAATGTGTCTGATATTCAACTATGACATTTAAAAAATACACAAGAAATATCATACTGCTCTAGAAAGGTAGACTACAAAATCTCTACTGAGTAAAATTCTCTTAATTCACAATTCTTGTCATAACAGTGTGCACCGTGTGACACAGAGTATGTGTGAGGAAACCTTAGTGAGATAGACAGCTCAAGTATGTGTGTGTGTGAGTGTGTGTGTGAGTGTAACTACAGGATCAAAGGGTGTACAATAAAGTGTCAGGTTGGAGTTGTGAATGTGTCGTTTTGTCGAGCCTTGTAACCTTTAATGTTCCCATTGATGTGCTGTCCACATACCACAGGGGACACAGTCGTGAGAGAGAGAGAGAGAGAGAGAGTGTGTGTGTGTGTGTGTGTGTGAGAGAGAGAGACAGAGAGATGTTCAGAGACAGCTTTGAAATACCAGTGCAGAAGAGAGTCGGTGCAGTGTGAGGCACACAAATGTGGGTTGGCCTGGTTTCCAACAAGCCCCCCAGGTACCAAACACTGCGAGGAACACAGATGGCCTCTGGGTAATCCACAGAGGAGCGAGTAGGGACACAAATAATCTACTACAACATGTTATCTCTTTTATTTCCCCAACCATTGATTTTATGTGCACATGTAATTTCTGCTTTATAAGTTGGTCTCAATGAACAACCAGCTTTGAGGCCAATTCACTCTGATTATTTTAGGCTTAAGACAGGTGGTTAGACAGATGGTGGTTCTGTCGAACAATGAAAACATTAAGCACAAGTAATCGCTACAGATGATTGACAATGTCATAATGGACACGCTTTTTTCAATGTGTATGGACAGCTAAAAAAAAGCATAGTTTTCCCTGAAGATGCAGTGAACAAAACCAAGAGCAGAGAACACTCATACAGTGGTAGTTCATATTTCATGAATTTACAACTTGAATATACACTGACATTATGCGGCAATCATGGCCAGCAGGCAGTAAACAATTTAAATTCTAAATGCTTCCTTATCGGTTGGCTCCACTACTGTTTACAATAAAAGCCTTGTATTAATGTAAGCCATGGGCTGGTCTACAGCTCTTTTAGAGAGGTAGGAAGGGAAGCTGTGCTCAAAAACATCATTACTTTTGTTGGATGGAGCACAAAGAGAGGGGGAATACAGAGACGAGTGGCAGCACCTCAAAGACCTTCAGTGTATGCAGTCAGCGAGCTGTGCACAAGACCAGAAAGTTGGCGTTCTCCATGGACATGCTCTCAACATGAAGCAGAAATGAAACAAGCATCAATATGCAGTCACTCCTGCACTCTGTGGAACAAAATATTTACTTCAAAAAGCCATCCTCTGGGAGTTCAACTGAATTAGAAAATCATGAGAATGTTGTTCAAAGGGGACATAGATAATGGGGCACAATAAGGTTACTGCACTTTATTTTGCTTGGGAATTTAGGTTAATGGTTTCTTCACTTCTACAGAAAGAGAATCAACACTAAGCTGCCAAACAACGGCCACAGACACAGCCGATACTGTACTCAACGTTACATGGAGTGTTCAGCTCCAGGTCAGTTAATAGTAGCTGATACTGCAAACTGCTATTTACACTAAGAAAGGAACATTATAACATTGCTGTAGAACCCCATTCATAAAAACACAGGTTGAAATCACGCAGGGAGTCAATCTGAAAAGGTCAACATGTATTACCCTACCTGAATTTAAAGCCCTCCTCCCAACCTTGATTGAACTCTGCATGGGCATTACTCAGCTTTGGTAAACAAGCTTTTGAGATGGCAAATTAATTTAAGTTGTGAGAGTTCCCAACTTCTCTGAAAAAGAGAGACTGTAAGTCAGACCAAGTGAGGACGTAGAGTGGGGGAAACTGGAACTTAAAGCTGCGCTGCACTAATTTTACTATACATGTTAAAGCTGATTTACTACTCAGCCTTTTGAAAGCAACTGTATTATGTTTCTCTGGTTCTGAAAGAGCTTTTCAAGTTTTACTGTATCAGAATTTATGTAAAGAAGCAATGAAAATGGATGCCAAAGGCTGCCAACATTCACATCTTGCATCATTTACTTGTGAAAACACAGCAATGCCCAAACCAATCAGTTGACTCCCAGCAGCCACTACACAATCCCTGCTCATCTTTAACAGTCATCTCCTCTTTCATAAGAATCACTACTAAAAGTTTTAGATGCAGCGAGCCATAGCAATTGGAAAAATTAACTTAATAGAGCCATACTTTACCATTTCAGCTAGTAGAAAAGCAACAAAACAGCAGAACACAACAGCAGTTGTGTCAGGTAATTCCCATTGTCAACAGCAGACAGCTCAATAATTATTATTG